CTGCCTTAGAGAACTTGGCTGAAGTTGGTTTGAGTTGGAGTTTTTTGACACCGTTTCCCTGTCACCCTCACGCCTTCCAGTCCTGCATTAATGCTGCCACAGCCACCCCTGCCTCTGCTGTTCCCAGATTCCCTCTTCCCTCCTTACCTGAGGCGTTAACGTGATCTGCAGCGGAGCATCAGGAACCACCACAAAGAGCCTCATGAACTGGGCATAGTGTGGTTTGAGGCCTCGCCCCTGGGTGGAGGACAGGATGTACAGTGGCATGTCGGAATTGAGGGCTTTGATGGCAGATTCCTTTGGCCCCCCTCCCATCACCTTCATGACCTTATCGGGCCCCGAACACATGAACCTCCTCCCACGGGCATCTTCGTACTCAAACCCCACGAAAGCTCGGGCGATGTCGTCTCTCCGCCTCCCTCTTCCCATCACAACTGCACTCCTTTTTCCAGGAACAGCCTTGTTGGGTGCAGGCCAGGAATTGGTATCCAAGTCCCCTTCATCTTCGGTTCTCGTCCTGATGACGATGTCCCAAGGCATTAAATAGTTTGTTCCCGGGATAAAGCCTTGTTGATCTAAGCCAGTGTGGAAGTTATAAGCCTTAGCAGGCCCCAGCTTAACCAGTGACCAGCTGGAGAACTTGGGCAGGAGGCCTTTGGGGCAGTTGGAATGGAGCATCCCGGGGAGGTACTCGACAGTGGACGCCTGGCGATCCACCAGGCTCGGCCTCTTCTCACTTTTGGAGTCCCCGCTCTGGCCGTGACTCTCTGCATTGTCCCCTCCACCCTGGGCATCGGGGGGGTAAGTGCCCAGGCTGCCCGTGGACTGGCCCAGGCTGAGGGCTAAGCTCAGGCCTGTGCTCTCTCCCTGAGTCTGAGGTTCTTTCTCTTTAAGTTTCTCAATCTCGCCCTCTGGAGGGGCAGGCGAGGACTCATCCCGAGCAGGCGCCGGATCAGGTGTGCTCGGCTGAAATATGGGAAAGTTGATGTGCTCCAGTTTCCCACAGCACTTTTCTTCCAGTAGCTACGAGAAAGAAAATGTGGTTAACTACACCCCTTCTCACCCTTGAGATCAGGGAGTTCAAAGTCACAACATTCAGCAGCTACAAATAAGATTCAAGAGGTTTGAGCTTTGTGAGAACCAAAACTGTGACGGGTATGTGGCCCACAGACCTGATTATTTAAAATCCACATGAACCAACACACTCAAAGTGTAAATAGGTGTGTAAACAGGTGCTCTTGTGTGTGCACTGGTGAGGACTGGAACTGCCCACTCTGCTCAGACAATTTCTGCTCCCAGAAACATCTTCCCTGAGCAACAAGGTGATAAGGTTAAGAGGAAACTCGTGGTCTCTTCAGAATACAGACCCTGCTGATGAAACAAAAGCAACAAGAGACCTAATAGTTACCTGGTAAAAATCATAATTAGCTGCTTTGATATCAAAGGGGTCCTCCCGAGGAGCTTGTTTCCTTCCACAGTTACAGGCCCCAGTGGAACGAGCCCGGCTGTTGTGGTACAGGATGGGTGGATTTCTGTCTGCTTCTGGCTTTTCCCCTAAAAGCAAAAAATCAATCAAACCCTGGGTAAATTGCTCTCCATTTCTAGAGATTAATTCCCTTCACCCTCTGCTTCCTCCTTGTTAATACACACACACACAAAATGATTTCCCAGCAGTTTGTCAAGCAATTCCTCCCCTTCCCCCTTTTAACACAAAGTTCCAGTGGAGGTTATACCACTAAACTGAATCTTGTTTTTACAACTTCTTCCTAAAAGGCTCAAAGTTCTTCTGCCTGCAATAAACACCCATCAGACAGTTTGACTCCTTGATTGCCATCAACTAAGTTATTTAAAACAAAGGGGGGCACTTATTGCTTCCTAGAGAAAGTTTGTTCTCTTACACACTTCTTATTAGAAGGACTTCAGTGTGATGCTTCTAATTAGCAAGACAGAATCAGAGTGACCACTAAAATTAGAGTTACTAAAACTAGAGTGACCACTAATTTAGAGTTGCTAAAATTAGAGTTACTACTAAAATCAAAGTTACCACTGACAGTGGACTGTATGGCTCCCAAACATCACTAATTTCCTAATGTTTGGCTCCCAAGCATTATTCAACATAAGGGAAACCCACACAACAGCTCTGCTGTAATCCCACTGTACAAGGATGATCACGGAATCATTTAGGTTGGAAAAGACCTCTGAGATCACCGAGCCCAACCTTTGTCCGATCACCACCTTGCAACCAGACCAGAGCACTGAGTGCCACATGCAAGCTACAAACTTTCATCTTCCTTAACGCGCCTGAGTCGGCGTTTCAGCCTTTTTAAAGCAGATACAAAAAACTAAACCGTGAAACCCAACCACAAGCGAGCATCTCTACCTGCTTTTGGGAGCAGATGGAACTTGTGCACGCAGTGCTGGTCAGTCAGGCTCCGCTCCTCGCAGAGCTGGTGCCCGTTGCTCCAGAACTTGTAGCAGTCCTCGTTGAGCTGCATGGCGTACTTGTGGAAGGCCGGGCCCCGGGCGTGCTGGCTGTACACCCGCAGGGCCTGGGCCAGCTGGTTCTTGTGCACTGTCATGGTGTAATTGTGGGGCAGGTTGGACTGGTAGGCGCTGTGGGCCATGGGCAGAGCCTTCTGGCAACGGTTTTCTGAGAACTTGGTGTCTATGTCTAAGTAGCCTTCCAAGACTTTGATGCTGCTCATGATCTTGGAGCTCAGCTCCCCAGAGGTCGGGTCGTCGTCCTTGCCCTCGATGGTCACCTCGTACAGTTTCAAAGCTGCAGCGACCCACTTCTGGTAGGTCGGGAGCTCGAAGTGGGAGGGCTGCGGGTTCCTCCCCACGCTGTCATCGAAGCCCTTCTTGCTGAGCACCAGCTCCACGTGCTGCCACAAGAACTCCTTGAGGGTGCAGTCCACGAGCTGCCCAGAGGAGCTGGAGCTGGAGCTGCTGCTCTCTGCGTGGAAGGAGAGCTGCTGCCGGCCGTGCCGCATCATCTGGTACCTCCTGGGCCCCGACAGCGTGGGAGTCAGCAGCGAGTCGGTCTCCCTCATGGTGCAGTTGCTCCTGAGCTGGTCGAGAAGCATGGCCACCGGGTCATCTCCGTCCTGGGGCCCCCCAGCCACGATGTACACGAAAGCCTGGTTGGCAGGCACGGTGAACAGGCAGTTGATGCTCTGGTTGGTGAGCACCCTGCTCTTGCGGAAGATGCGGTAGATCTGATCCTCCAGAGCGTGCTGCAGCCTCCTCTTGGGGGAGTGCTTCTTGGGGGGTGGCTTTTCCAGGTGACCACAGGGGTCCTGGCCCCTGCTGGGGAGGGGATCCACCTTCAGAGCCCCGTTGAGCTGGAAGAGGAAGAGGAGGCGCGGAGGGCACGGCCTGCAGTTGAGCTTCCACTCCTTGCCCACCGGGCAGTCCTTGATGGCAGCCTTGAGGGAGGGCAGCACCTTCTGCCGCAGCCCGTCCAGCGCCCTGAACACGCGGTCGTAGGTGATGTCGAAGGAGCAGGTGGGATGCACCAGCAGCAGGATGTGGCACACGGAGAACAGGTAGAGGAGGCTCAGGCAGTGCAGCTTCTCCTGGTGCTTCCAGAACTCGTGGGCCTCGGCGTGGGGCAGCGGGGCCGGGCCTCCCGAGGGGTGTCCGGGCCCGGCCTCCCTGTTCTCGGCCGCGGTGAGGTCCCCGCAGGCGCGGAGCAGCTGTGGTGTGTCGCAGATGGAGGTGAGCACCAGGTACAGCACGCGGCTCTCCTGGCTGTAGTACGCCTGCAGCTGGTTGTAGTCCTTGCTCGCCGGGTCACTCTCGGACCCCGCCCCGCCGTCCGCCGGCTCGGGATCCTCTTCGGGGAACAGCGGGAAGACCTGCCGGTCGCACACGGTGCTCACCAAGGCCTCCTTCTCGGAGCAGAGCTGCAGCGCCGTCTTGCCGAAGATGCCCACCACGCACACCTCCTCCTCGCCGCCCGCCGCGCCGCCCGCCTCGGCCGCCAGCAGCAGGTCCCGCAGGCTCATGGGCCCCACGGCCGAGCCCATGGCCCCGGGGGCACCGCCCGGCAGCGGCATCCCCCGGATCCAGCCCCAATCCCACTCCCGCTCCCGCTGCCGCTCCCGCCCGGAAGCGGCGGAGCCCCGGCCCCGCTCCCGGCCCCGCGCATGGGCGGCCCCGCCCCGGGGATGCGGTTCGGGGAGGGAACGGCTGGGAACGGGGTGGAGACACCGGGAGAGGGTGACACGGAGGGTGTGACAGCACATCGTCCACCCTGGACAGCTCTGGTCCCCAGCGAGCGCGCGGGATGCGGGGGGCGCTCCCCCAGACTGGGATGCAGTGCCAGCGGGACTCGCATTCCATCGTCAGCCCGTGTCCTGACCTGGGTCACAGTACAGGCACATCTCCCCACCCCCGCAGCTCTTAAACTTGACTTTGAAGGAGTCTTTGAGGTACTTTGCCTTTAATCAGTTCAGCCTTTAACAGTGATCCGACCCCAGCCAGAAGCAATACACAGTGCAATTGCGTTTTATATTTGTAACCATAGAACCAAGCTGGTTGTTGACTCCTGCAGCTTTTCCATTTAATAATATTAGTGCATTAAACTGTTGCTTTTCTTTGAAACTGTACAGTTACCGTGAAGTTAGTTTTTGGTTAAAAAAATATATCTATATATAAAAGATGTATAAACAATACTGAATTTCAGCAAACACATACGTATTTGTATGACAAGCAGCACCAGTGTTGGGAGCATAATAGTCCCTGCTTCAGCAGCAGCCAGTGGTCAAAGGACTTGGGAAATTTCATGCTTTGTTTCCATTAAGAATGAAGATGCAACCAAATTGAAACATTATAGAAATTGAGACATTATGAAATATAAAAAGTAAAATCTGCTTAACAGGGTTTCATAATATCCTGTTCTCATGTGCACTTACAAATAAATACATGTGCCTGAGTGTGATAAAAATGGGATTCAAAAGGGAAATCCAGTTCAAATCCCGACAACAAATGAAAAATACATTGTTTCATAAACCTACTTTCCTTTTTACTTTTCATCAAAGCTGTTTGCAGCACTTAACCGGGCAGGGGAGGGACTCTTCGGATGAGCCATCTGTCAAAACAAGGGAAGGGTCAGAACTTGGATATCTGAACTCATTGTGACTGAGATAAAACAGTGCAATTCTCAGCTGACACCGTAAAACAACCAAAGCAAGTCATTAAAATAAAAGACATTATTAAGGCTCAGATTTTGTTCTTCTGCAAAGTGGAACTATGAATTTCAAAGTCGCGTGGACTGCACTGTAGGGAAAAATCAGTAGGAAATTCTATGGATTTTAAAGCCAATTTATTGCTCCAAAAGAGAGAGAGTGACTTGCCTGGAATTTGCGTCGCAGTGCCTGTGTCATTATTGGTGTCAACCCAGAGCCACATTCAATGTTTTCTTTATTATTTAGAGGAGTGCCACCAGGACTTCTGAAAAGATTGGACACAAGGGGAATTATTATTAGTTCTCTATTTTTTTCTAGATTAAAAAAAAAAAAAGAATCCAGGGAACAGGAAGGAACTTACCTTTGTATATTGACTTTCTTCAGATGTTTCCGAAGATCAATCTGATTTTTAGGGGGAGTACTAATAGAACGAAACAAATAAAATATTTTCCACTCTGTAAACCATGTTAATCACTGTTTAAAACAGAAAAATCTAATATCAAAGAAAGGAAGAAAGGATCTTACATTAAGGAATTTGTGACGTGAGCTGATGGCTTGGATTTAGGTCTCAAACTAATACTCTGTAGATCTGAGACTGTAATTAATGCCCTGAGTGGCTTCCCTGGTGATTCTGCCTAAAGCAAGGAAAGAAATGTCACCACAAATAAAACTTTAGAACGTTTCACTAACTTCAAATCTATTTAATATTTATAGTCTGAAAGATTTTTGTGGTTTATGACTTCTATGCTTTTTTTGAATTATTAAGATTTGACCGTGTCTTGGATAAAAATAGATTTATCAAAACCAAAACCCCTCCAAACACTTTTGCAAACAATATTTCAGCTGGGCAAAAAAAGCCCAAAACCTATTGATAACAGACAGAAATCTACAGGAAAGCTCCATGGCCTTAATGTAAAATCAGAACCGTCCTGTGTGCCAGAGGTTGGAGTTGGTCTCTTCATTTCTTTCCTTCAAATGCCCAGGTGCAGGATTAGAATGGTTACGTGAAACTTTGGAAGAGAAGAACTAATTTACTGAAAAAATTCTATGAAGAGCTAAGACAAGCACTGCAGGAAAGGCACCATTTCCAGGGTGGAAATGTCACCTGTTTATCCCTGTCCCCTCAAGTCTACCTTGTCCATTCTCAGGTTGCTGTTTGTCTTCTTCAGCTTGACATTCAGGAGGTCTTTGAGCGTGATCTGCATCGGCCCGTCCTTCTTCACTGGTGGTGCCTGGAAACAAAGGGGTTTGGAAGGGAAATCAGGATTTCCAGGTGACTGACTGTTCACAAACACACACATTCCCACGTGGATCCAGGCCCAAAGAACCCAGGCAACCAGGGAGAAAATAGAGGAGCCTTCTGAGTCCTTACCAGAGGTGCTTTGGAGCCAGCGCCTCGTTTGAGGAGGAGAGGTGCTGGAGGCAGTTTTGGTGGGGGCAGTGGTGGTGGTGGAGGAGGAGGGGGAGGAGGAGGAGGTGGAGGAGGAGGAGGAGGAGGAGGAGCAGGCACTGATGGCACCAGGTCCATCTGTGTCTGTACAGGAGCACCCAGGACTGGTTTGTGACACTTTTGGCAAAGAGGATTTTCTGGAGACAAAGCTGCAGTTCCGTTCACCTGAAAACGACACAAATAAACAAGAGGACATTAAATCCACTGGCAAAAGGAGATGGAATTTTAGAGAACAAAGTTGATCTGTACAGGCACAAGAGCCTTTTAGGAGACTCATCAACAAACCAGTTCCCTCTGGCTGTGAGGAAACTGCAGTTCAGCAACACTGAATGCAGGAATGCCCTGTGAGAACCCTTCAGATTCCAGAGTTTCTGCACTACCACAGTTCCTTACAAACCCACCAGGACTGGCACTGACCTGGAGTGTTTCTTGGAGCTTGGAAAATTCACTTTCCAACTTTTCCAGCTGCTCTCTCAACGCATTTAGTTCCCTTAAGTAGATGTGTGACGGAAATATGGTGTCTTTAACCACCTTAAAACTCTGAGCATAAAAAGAAAGCACATTAGTGTTTTCACCAGCAGGTTCTGTTTCCGGAGACAGAGCTGTGATTACTATGGAAATGTCTTATTGCAGTCTGTGAAAAGCACAACAGGAAGATACAAAATTTCATCAAATAGTTCCCTGACAGGAACTCAAGGAGTGACTTTCTAAAAGAACTTTAACTTCTTCCAGGAATACTAAAGTAAAATTCACATTTGACATTTGAAAAGCTCAAACAATCATTTCTATGCTACGAAAGAAAACCCACAGCCTTTGTCACTTTAAATCCTGCTGATATTCCAATAAAAACCCTACAATTGCACATATGCAATGGGCACATGGTGGGATTCTTGGGACTGTCCAAGGAGTTGGATGATCCTTGTGGGTCCCTTCCAACACAGGATATTCTAGGATTCTATGATTTAATGTCTTGGCACATCTTATATTTATTCCTTCAACGGTAAACACTAAAGATACTTTATATGTTTCAATACACTGTTTCAATGTTTCAATAAATACACTTTAGATAACTAAATGCGCAGCTCAGCTCTCAAATCTCCCCGTGTATCCTGTGTCTGAGCACAAAGAACCACCTCACACATGGCTAAAAATGGAGAAATATAAACTGTACCTGTGCAATTGTGTTCTGGCCCCACCAATACAGAAATGATGCTGCTGATTCCAAGGGTTTGATCACATTTTTTGCTGCTGATTCCAAGGGTTTTATCACATTTTTTGCTGCTGATTCCAAGGGTTTTACCACATCTTTTATGCTGGGCAAGGCTGATGGCCAGATGGAGCATCTTGGAACAGGTGCTGGGTGCAGAGGGAGATCAACTGGTGACCTGCAACAGAACATTTCAGAGTGAGGCCAGAATTATATTTATCATTTCAGCCTTTAATAAAGTTAACTGGGACCAATCATCTGGAAATTACAAGTAGGAATGGCAAGTAACAAGAGAGTAAATGTGACCAGAGAAACCAGGAGAGGCCAAGATACATTTCAATAAAGGAGGGGGGGGCAATAATATTTGAAATCAGTTTTTATTCAAATTGCCTTTCCTGGTTATTAAAGTTAGTGATGGAATCACTAAGGTTGGAAAAGACCTCCAAGATCATCATGTCCAACCTTCAACTGAGTAACACCAAACCACATCATGCAGTGCCATGTCTGCTTGTCAGCTGAACACTTCCAGGGATGGTGACTCCACCACTTCCATGGGAAACCTGTTCCAGTGCTGAACCAGCAAAGAAGCTTTTCCTAATATCCAACCTGAAACTCCCCTGGCACAACCTGAGGCTGATTCCCCTTGTAAATGCTCAAGATGATCCACAAGATGATGTTATTCCACAGCACCCCTGCCAGGATGGAGACAGGCTCCAAACACAATTGTATTCCCTCAGTTCCATGAGGAATTGGAAACAAACAACAAAACCCAGGAACTGGGTGAAAAGGCAAAGCTCAAGCTGAGCCTCTTACCGTGGGGAAGGACAAACTGAGCCCCGGGGCTTTGCAGCATCTCTCTTTTGTTTCAGGTGAAATCTTCCCCGGGCTCTCCTTTTTTGCCTGCATCTCTTACGCTTTGCCATTGCTGTTAAAAAAGACACATTTAAAATGAATGTCCAGAGACCAAATTACACACTGGAGCAGAGCTGCCACCCAAGAAAATAACATGGTCAGCACCCCAGACATCCAGGCAGAGGTTATTCACAGCAGCCTTGCTGCAAGCATCACATAATGCTGATAAAAAAAATATATCCTTAAGTTCTTATGAGCCTCAGGGATGTCTTTGTACCCGAGTAGTGAACAAAAAAAGCACCATTTTATAATGGGCTTCTTTCCCCCTATTTATGTAAGAAGTAAATA